ATAGCCGCTGGGGTTAACTTCCACATGTGGCAAAGGCAAAATTGAAATCGGAAAAACACTTGAGACTTCGAGTATGTGTAGTTTCAAATTTCACCTACCTCTTTCTAACTTATGTTTAATCACAATTGTACAGTTTGTACTACCGTTAGATTACGACTTATCACAATTATATTACAATTTGATTACCTATTCTTAAAAAAAAGGAAAAAAGGACCTTATGGGCCTGGCTCCATATCCATTCTGGGGAGCGTCGATCTGGTTCCTATGCCGCCACTTCTATTTCCAATTCTTGTTACCTATGTTACATTACACAATCTCTCACATTCTTAGATAGTTCCCATGTACCACCTCATAATTGTACAGTTTATAGTAACATTGTACTACCAGGTCAAGTCAACATGAAGCATTCATTGAGTGGCAAGATCAAAGCGGATGATTGTAAACTTTGTCCCCATTACTCCAGCACTTGCACCAAAGATTACCCTCCATTTACTGAATTCAAACAAAAACTCCAACCGCCGGAAACATTTTGACTACTGAACAGGGCTGAAGGGGCAGGCAGCACCTACTAGCTGAACGTAAAGTAATGGCTTCTATGCAGTGTAGAAAAGGTCCGAATGTGGTAGGATTGTCTGGGTTATTACAACCTTTAGCAGCGGTCGGGTGAGACTGCAAAGATTCTTAAAAAAATTAATCAGATTCTATATAATTATACTACCCAGGAGGGGTAAATGCGGTTCAGTCACAATTGAATTCCAAAGGCGATTCAAGCGCGCTGCAACTTTCCGAAACCCGTGTCAGGTTGCTTGCAAGTCAGGGGGCATTGGTGTGCAGACTTCCCGTTTCATGTTTCTTTTTTTCCCCTTTTCAAAGCTGTGGCATGCTTGAATTTCCAATTCGTGCTCTTTATTGCGTTTTTCAGCTCAAAACCTGACGCGTCCCATAATTATAATAACTATGTTCCACAGAATCTTTCACATTCTCCGGTATTTCCCATGTACCTGTCATTCAACTTGACAGTGGATTGGAACCGGACTGACGCTCCCCTGAGAGGACAAGGAGCCAGGACCAAAAGGACCTGTTTCAATCATAGAAAAAAAAGAGAGAAGGAAAGCATATTGCAGTAGCTAAACTTATAATTACAATAGAAGTCATTTCTGCTGCTCCTGCTACACGTACCTTCCACACATCCCGTGCTATGACAGGTGTTCCCTGGGGCAGCCCTACGTCTGCCCATCGTGCTGTTATGTTTTCACCCTTCAATCCTCGATTCCATAACGCAACCACCACCTCGTCATTGAGAAGAGGACCAGCCCACACCTGTTGTGGATAATCGACAGCAATAACAAAGGGGGGGGGGGGGAAGGGGAAGAAAGAGAGTACAATAGTTTTATCAGATCAGAGAGGGATAATGCACTTGCAGTGTAATGTGCCCAGTCTCGTCAATCAATCATATCGCGAGATAGCAATGTCATGCAATGTCGTGAGATGATCATTCCAGCTAGTCCATTAAATTCGAAGTCATTGAAATACATGATCCTTCATTTCCACCTGTAAAGTCTCCGAGTCGTGAGTATCCAGACTAGAAAAGAAAGGGGGAAGAAGAGGCAGATGGAAGGAGAAGAATACCGTAGCAATCAAGTCCCTCTTCTCTTCCAGGTTTCCCCACCTCTGCCACGTCAGCAATCTGTACACAGTATGACTCGTGGATGATGTAAATGCAACCCCTCGCAGGAGTGATCCTTCAGCAGCAAGCAGAATCAGCAGCAGCATCACATCAGGTGAGACCAGGTATCACACCTCGCCCACACTCTCTCTCTCTCTCTCCTCACTACCTCGCCGTCGTCTATGGCCGCAACAACGACTGCCTTCTCCTCTCTCTCCTCTCATACTACAGCATCTGGCTGGTGCCCACGCAACAGACTGGCATCAGCGTCCACCTCTCAAGTCTCACGTGGAGCATCAAAGCCGTGGGAAACTCGCAAGACTGAATGTCCAAGCAGTGGCAAGGTCAACTCTATATAGCGTTCAGTCACGTTGTTCGGGGTCAGCTTCTGTCCATGTGAGGCCCCGGATCGCCCGAATGTCGACGGCTCAGATGCAATTTGTCCCAGTTTCGGTCTGGACTCCTTGAGGCCTGAATCTTCCGGAACCTGCAGACCACTGTTAGATCATTCCAGATCAACGGCCAGGAAATCTTATGTGTTGACTTTGACTTCTCGGATCTGGGCCTGGGTCCACGAGTTGACTGTTGACTTTTCGGTCAACTGTCAGTCTGGGCCTCTTCCTAGGGCCTGTTTGACCTTTTCAGGGCCTGTCCGTTCATGCTTGTGACGAGGCAGAGGCAGAGCAGCAAGGCTGGGAGAGAGAGGGAGAGTGAGAGCACACACACACACACTCACTCAACTCGACGCAGACTCGATACGACTCGACGGACACAGACACAAAGTGGCAAAGTCGCAAAGTCGCAATTTTGGATTCCGAACACAATGTCGCAGTAAGTCACACTGAAGCACAAGCACTGAGGCTGAAAACTGAGTGCCCGTACTGGGCTTGAGTCCGGTCTTAAGTACCGGACTCAAGTTCAGTCCCGAGGGCAGAAGTGCAATTTGCCTCAGGGCTGAACTGAGAATGAAAGGTCTGAGTCTGGGCGCCAGAATGCCAGATGGCGCCAAGTATCGAAATCCGGAAGTGCCAAAGGAGGAATTTGAGAACAGGTGCCAACTGCAGAGGGCGCCAACAGTCAGGAACCGGAGAACAGAAACCCAAAAATAAAATAGCAGCCTGGCGGGTGGTAACCCGCGGACCAGGGATCGAGCCCTGGCTGAGTCCGTAGCAGTACTTATTTTTTTGGGGTGCTGAAGGCACGATCGGAGCCCAGCGGCTCAATTTTGGCACATGAGTTACACCAGCAGTCTTGACGTGATAATTGTGCAGAATTGAACACTGCCATCTTTGGTGGATTTTTTTTATTTTTTTTTGGCTTAGTCAAATTGCAATAGCACATGCCATATGTCTCGTGGAAAGACTGAGGGCCAACTCGGCCGCCCTCAGCCCAGGCCGAAAACAGGGGCAAAAGACCCCACACGAATATTCAGGGCCTGGACGAGAGACAATCGACTTTTGTCAACTGCCTTGACCTCAACAGTCAAAGTCCAAAGGTACCCAGTCCAGGCCGCCGGTCAAGCACACACTGGTATATGTGGTGCTGCCTATGGTTTACATGGCATGCTGACGTGGCGCTGCCTTTGGTCTACGTGGCATGCTGACATGGCGCTGCCTATGGTCTACGTGGCATGCGGACGTGTTGCTGCCTCTAGTATATGTGGCATGCTGACTTGGCACTGCTCCTATCTACGTGGCGCTGTTCTTGGTCTTCACTGATGATGTGGCATATGCCACCTGTCTCGTCTGCTGATGTGGCATTGCCCACATTGTCTACATGAGGTGACTGGTTGTGAGGAGGAGGAGATCGGGATCTGTGGAAGAAGGAAGTCGAGTACTCACCTGCGGTTGACGTTGTCGTTGGAATCTTTATGTTTTCACGGTCTTCACGAGATCGAGTGCCACTTGGCACCTTTGTAGGTGATCAGGAATATACTTGTTATCACTGTTGTTGTGGAGAGGGAGGAAGCCTGGAGAAGGAGAGGGATTTGTTATTGTTCTTTCATCTTCTCCTTTGTCGGTTCCGCCTCCACTCTCTTCTTTTGATGATAATGAGATATTGTTTGTATTATCACGTCATGATCTGGAGTCTGTGATCCAAATAACGAGACTATTGATGATTGACGACTTCTGAGTACTGGCCAGACTGGGTTCATTACAAAATGCCTTGAAAATTTAAAGTTGTGTATCTCACATGATACAAAACTTGTGCAAGGAAAATGAGCTACAGCGAGATGACAAATCCAGATTACTCAATCACATTGAAAGCCAGATAGTTACACCGTGTCCAGAAAGCAGCATTGCACCAATAATACACCAATGAACGTTCGTAATACTGAAAACCAATGTCACGAAGAGCTTTCTCTCTCCTCACCAACACAAGAGTCCAGTCCCTTCACTCTCCTACTTGGCGCTCAACGCCCAGCCTACTCCTACACAGCTATTATCAGCCTACTAATTGACAATGCAACTGTTGACATCAGCGGCAACCCGAAGTACTTGAAGATGTCGCTCATTGCAAACCATCGCCAATACAAGGTATGTGCCCTCACATCATCATCATCATCATCCTTCACCCTTCCCCGACTTTACACCCACGTCTTCCTCCCTTACACCCGAAGACCATTCATGCTCCTCACTGTAGTCCAAGCCCACCAGCTATGGTGGCTGGGCTATGGCGCTGCCCTCAGCAACGCCCTTCTTCCATGCACGACCGCACGTGCTGCACCTCGCCTCTCAGCGCCAGCAAAGCCCACGAGCCTTTGCTCCAGCAGCGTTGCCGCTAGCATGCGAGTGCCTGAGTGAGGCTGAGAGTGGCGAGCTCTTTCCTATATGGAAAGAGCCTGCCTGCTTCGCAGCCTGGCTGGACTTGGCCTGGGCGCAGAAGCTTCCGGTAGGCCCCAGGATGCTGCATGCTACTTTGCAGCTACAGGGCCTCTTTCGGTTGGGTCTCCCAACTGTCAGTGTATGAGGATGCATTTCTCGTCCAGGGCCTGCATGCTTCGGAGAGGCCCAGAAGGCCGTGGAAATGTCTTGGTTGCTCGGCCTGTGTTTCAGACAACTGGCGTGTCGCAACTGCCTAGACCCCAAATATGAAATTGACAGTCAAAGGCCTCTTGTGATAAGTTAGGCCCGCCTTCACTTAGGGCGGGCACCACTGCAACCGGGGCCCCTTGGGCCTGCCGAGGACCCAGATCCTCACACTCATTAAAAAATAAATCAAAACATAATAAAATTGTTTACGCCCCGAAGTAAAGTGAAAACAAAAAGTGAAAAGAGAAGAAAAGTCTGAAAAACAACATAGTGAGTGGGCGAGCACGTTTTGACACTGCCATCTTTGGCGATTTTTCTTTGGCGGGAGCCAAACCCCTTAAGGTTCGGACCCCCAACGCCCGAACGTACGGAGGTCGAGGGCCTCCATACGTACGGGCTGGTGACCCTGATTATATTTATATATGTTGCTATAGAGTATATATATTTTTTCTATAATATACTACAAATCAAACTAAACAACTAAATACGGTTTGTAATCTTTAACCAATTTTGTGCTTCAATGTAATTACCAGGAGCTAATTGAATAGTGCAAGGAAAATAAGCGATAGCGAACTTCAAAAACCAAGCAGCATCATACACATGAGACCAGATAGTCATGATGTTACATGCCCAGTTGGGCGACGTACATAATAACCAAGGATCTGCAATGTGATAAAAAAGACTGAATGAACAATGCAGTGCAAGTGAAATCTCAACAAGCAGTGTACATTCTGATACATACAAAATGGTGCTTTATAGCGCAAGGAAGACTTGGATACAAGTCCTGACCTGACTGAGTTCTATAAGTAGACCAGCACGAACCGCTCCAACAAGAATGTCGTCTAAGTAGACCAGCACGAACCGCTCCAACTAGGACAGGCGAACGTCGCGCGCCAGACTTTAATATAAAGTGGCGCGGTTGCAAGCCTTTCCTATGTCAACCGACAATGCTAGTCATGCGCGACAATCGCAGTTTCGGCCTCGCGATATTGAATGGTTGAAGGACTATATCGTGAGGGGTTACCCCTCACGATATTGAACAGTTGAAGGACATGTCGTTCAACCCTCGCGACATTTCTACCCTCTGGGTTGGGTGTCTCGACAGGCAGGGCATATAGGCTCTGCGCACGGGAAGACTCCTTCCCTGCAGAGTCTAGGACCTGGGATGTCCTAGACAAGGACCTCGAGTCCAAACCCAGGACTAACGTCCGACTAAGAAACCCCTTAAGAAGCATACCACCACGTAGAGGGGCTTCCTTTCTTCCCTAGATCCCAACCCCCAATTTTTACCTTTACGCGTGACCCTTCAAATCACGCGAACTCCCAACATAGGTACACA